TTTTTGTCTGACAACACCATGTTTTCTTCTGGACTTCATGATGCAGGTTAGACAAAGCGTAATTTAGTTTCACAAATAAAACTCTTGCGAATGGACAGCAGTCCCTTCAAAGATCGATTATTCATTAGCAAAGTCGAGAGTTGATTTATATTTGTTTACCGGTTTGTTTATTTTTTGCCGTACGAAGTGGAAAGTTCCAGCTCTTACTAAAAACCGTTTAACTCTCTCTCATCGACAGGGAATCAGAGGTCCCTTGACAGAGCTGTGCATCCTCTATGGCTCTGCCTCTGCCCCCACGCCTCGGTTGATTCAGCCAGCGAGGGCCCCGCGTCTTACGAGTGTGGAGGACGAGGGTGACAGGGTAACTGGGGAAAGGTCTTTCTCTCTCTCTCCCTCTCTGTCCTTGTGGTTTCTCGCAATGGCATTTCCGCGTGTTGATATACCGCAGCTTCTCATATGAGTCTAGTTGATTATTTTTGACTCGTTTCGTATGTCTTCCCGAATTCGACCGGACGAGAGAAGCATGCTAACAAGGCCTTTTGTTCGAAGGCTGGCGAATGGTTTAGTGCGTTATTCAACCGGTTAGAGCTACCCGAATGGCCGAGACTGAAAAGACGATTTTGATCCTGTATGTACTGGGATCGTGTCGTCTTTCTTATCCCTTTTCCCAGCTGGTTCTTAACCGAGGTCTTTTTAAGTCCATTCCAAGAGGCTTGCCTACCTAATAACGTCCGACTTACGGGCACCATTGCCAGTCAAAACATACGAGCTTATAACAGAGTTTCTCCTCTGTGTAGAGAGAGCACTTCGGTATTCAAATGCACTCTTTTCCACACTCCATTTAACGATGAAAATTCCTAAAAACAACACATAACCTGAGAAAATTCTAGTCAAACCGGTATGATCTAGGACAAGACGCTCTGCGATTTGTTTACGTGACTGAAAAGTAATAGATAGTGCTGAAGGACGTGTCGGTGCTTCGACAATTTTACAGTACCTTTGACTTAAGTGACGAGAGAATTTGCTTTATAATACAGCCACTCCTTGTATTTATTTTGTACTCATGTGTCGTACGGTATTCTATGTTTATAATGGCTCGCTCTCACGTAGCGCACAAAAGAAATATTTTTGGAACACAAAATCCAAGACTCTGATTAACTATAAGTTTTCCCACTGTTGACAGCAGCTTTATTTTCTAAATCTATTTATTGATTGATATGGACGCATTCTTGGTAGTGCTGACAGATTTATTTATTTTGCTTATAGTGCATAGACGTGTTCAGACATGTTAGAAATAGAAGTACAATTTTTCGATAGATTATCCTGTATGGTATTTTATTTTGTTAAATCAGCAAGCATTGCATATGCTACTTGAAGAGATAACAATTCGCTTCGGGTTATGGTTGTTATGATAAAATTTAGTGCTAGGATATTTTATTTGTTTGTTTCTGTTTAGAACTTTCTCCCTGACGTTCAACTCAGTACAAAACGACTTTCCTAACGACTGTAGGGTGTGACCTCATTACCGTGACTCACCAGCTCATTAAGGACTGACTTCCGGTCGTCAAGCAATTAGAAATGCGAGGGATAATTAACCTAATGAACAACATTGCTGACGACCGTTCAATAGGTGACAGCGTGACGCGGTTTAACATTAGACTGACTGCGACATTTTATTGCTGATAAAGATAAGATAATTTCCTTACTTTGAGACTTAATGGTGACAATCGATACACACAACAGTGTTAGTGACGTTCTCTCGTATGACATGACTGACTTCGTTACAGGACTTGGCACCAGTTTTTCAAAAAGCCTTTTATTTGACAATTTCGGGAACGATATAACTATTTATGACATCACATTATAACTTGATAATGACTGACAAAACTTTATATCAAGAGCGACAATATAGTTACGGTTATGATAGTGACAAACTTGAATAGGACTTGATAACGACACTTTACGAGACAGTGACCTGACGGTGACATCTCTCTTGCTTCTTATAACTGACATTTCGAGTTAAGCCTTTTGATGGCGACAGCTGACGTGGGTCGATAGTAACGACTTACAAAACCTAAGATATTCTGACGAAAGACCCAGCACTTTGATAACAAGAGCCTCGCAATTCTTTTGACAGTGACAGTGAAAGAAGACTTGAAAACGACGTTTGACAGTGACGTCGTTTTAGCAAGACCTAAAATACGTTAGGATATGACATCTCACCAGACTTGACAGCCCCAATTTTAATTCTACAGACGATAACGACAGATTAGAGAAGAACTTTGTGACTTTGGTGGTAACAGACTAACAGATTCAACTGCGACACACCCATCACGAGAAAGTTATCTGGCCCAAATTACTCCATCAGCGTCTCAAACTTTCTAACCAATGACTTCTAATTGTAATGTTGATGATGATGACGAAGATGGCGAGCAAATTGCAGACGATAATGACATCATTCAATTCAGCTAGTGGTGATATGATAGTTAGGACGGCCTCGTAACGGACCCACTGACGGTGACAAATAGCTCTCACGTTCATGACTGTGACAACCCAATTTCAGACTGAATGTTGATAATTGGCGATGACTGCCTTAGTCTGTAAAGTGACAACGCGTCTTAATTTCTGATAATTACTTTACCCCTCACAGGTTTAATGACCTTGATGACTCCATACGAACGGACAAGACTTATAAGATTGTAACTCTACTGAACTCTAACATCCCTAACTCATGACGTTTTGATATGGATGACAAGGTGACTAGTGACTAACTGCCTTCATTCTAGTAACGTCTCATCAAACATTACTCATGGACAGTTCATCATCATCCTCCCATGACATTATTATCAGCTTCAGTATCTAAACCATTAGATTACGGTCACAAAAATAATAATAAAAATAAAATAGGTAAACAGACGAAACACGACAAGACCATCGTAATTTTAAATGTCAAAATACCATCAAAAATATGAGATGGCAGCTCGACGTTCGATTTATAGAGAAAGGGGCTATTAAGCACTTTTGCTAGAGAAAAAATATCTATTTTTTTAATTTAATATTTTTTAATGACCGGCGATAACGTTCTTCAATAAATAACGTTCATTCGACAGACAGTTGAGACAAAACTCAATTTTTTTTTTGAAGACTCATCATCAGATCAGATGTGTGACAGTGATAGACAATTTGACACCTGACAGTGAATTTGACAAATGACAACACGGTCATGTAAACCTATTTGGCTTATACATACATACATATATATATATATATATATATATATATATATATATATATATATATATATATATATATATATATATATTTATATGCTTTATTTAAGCAACTACCAATCAACAAACTGGTGATAGTTCCATTCAGCTTCGTGATGGTGACAAAAGGCTGGACCATCAGACTACTAACTGTGACGTCTTTTCTTACAGTGTCATGACAGACCTGATAGTGATATTTTGTTCATAGACTTAGTAGTGACTGATTCTAAAGACACGTTTAGATTATTACTAGTGACACTTACTTAAGACCTGAGACTGTAAAACTAGTGGTTTGCAAATCGGTCACTATTAAACTGCCAATTATGACAAAAACTTATGGACTTCCAGTTCACTACCAGCTAGACGGGTAATCTACAACACGCCTAGTAAGAGCTCGCAGCACATTAATTCAAATAGCTTTTCAGTGAGTATTCATTCGAGAGGGGATAAGTTGTGTTGAATTGGAGGACTTCTAGATGTGCTAATATTAATGCCAGGCTTGTTTTATTTAATACGAAAGGTAAAAAATGACGGTTATTAATAACGATTTACTGTCTCAAAATATGAAACTGACTTCATAGTGGCAGTAGTATCCTATTTTACTTCTATAGTGACACTTGACTATATGACTACGCAGTGACAGAAGATACGGTGACTATTTGACTTTAGGGTAAAAAATACTGACACTGATTTACAATCGCCACATGATTACTTACAGGGACTTTGCAACCAGACTGTTGTGACAGCCATTGTGACAAATATTTATAGACGAAATCTTAAATTATCATAATGACAATTAATTTTCAAGTAACAAACTGGAAAAAGGTGACAATAGGACACTGACAGACTAGTGACAGATTCATTTCAATTTTTTAGCGACACTGAGACTTCATCTCTTGACAGGTGACAGCCAACGACTGCCTGGTATTTAACAAACAGTGGACATGACCAAAGTTGCTTCACACTGACCTAACAAGTCACTGCCACGACTCATTTGCTAAGATCTCAGGGAACTTGGCAACTACAATTACCATGTCGACCGTTAATTACCATAATTTTTAACTAATATGATCACTAATTACCATGGCCATTTATTACCATTACAACTACACAAGACTTGACACCCACTGACACTTCCGACTTGAACACCTGGTACCTGGTTTGACACCTGACTTAACAGCCCACTTGAAACATGACTTTTTTCTAGCCACATGACCAGTCGCTTGTTCAACAACTTGACAGCTTGTTATATTGACCAACTAAAACTCGACAGCTTACCAGCTAGACTATCTATCTATCTAGACTATAGACTTGACAGCGTACTCATTCAACCATCTAGAACTTGACATGTTACTAATCTGACCATCTTTGATTTGGCAGCTTGCTAATTCGATCATCTAAGACTTGACAGCTTACTAGTTTGACTAACTACGAATTGGTAGTGTACTAATTAGACCATCTATAACTTGACAGCTTACTAGTTCGACCATCTAAGAACTGGCAGCTTACTAGTTTGATTACTTAAGGCTTGGCAGCTTACTAGTTTGATTACTTAAGACTTGACAGCTTACTAGTTTGACTACTTAAGACTTGACAGCTTACTAGTTTGATTACTTAAGACTTGACAGCTTACTAGTTCGATTACCTAAGACTTGACAGCTTACTAGTTCGATTACCTAAGACTTGACAGCTTACTAGTTTGATTACTTAAGACTTGACAGCTTACCAGTTCGATTACCTAAAACTTGACAGCTTACTAGTTTGACTACTTAGGACTTGACAGCTTACTAGTTCGATTACCTAAGACTTGACAGCTTACTAGTTCGATTACCTAAGACTTGACAGCTTACTAGTTTGATTACTTAAGACTTGACAGCTTACCAGTTCGATTACCTAAAACTTGACAGCTTACTAGTTTGACTACTTAGGACTTGACAGCTTACTAGTTCGATTACCTAAGACTTGACAGCTTACTAGTTTGACTACTTAAGACTTGACAGCTTACTAGTTTGATTACCTAAGACTTGACAGCTTACTGGTTTGATTACTTAAGACTTGACAGCTACTAGTTTGACTAACTACGAATTGGCAGTGTACTAATTAGACCATCTATAACTTGACAGCTTACTAGTTCGACCATCTAAGACCTGACAGCTTACTAGTTTGATTACTTAAGGCTTGGCAGCTTGCTATTTTGATTACCTAAGACTTGACAGCTTACTAGTTTGATTGCTTAAGACTTTGACAGCTTTGATTACCTAAGACTTGACAGCTTACTAGTTTGATTACCTAAGACTTGACAGCTTACTAAGTTGACCATCTAGGACTTGACAGCTCACTAGTTCAACCATGTAAGACTTGGCAGCTTACTAACTTGACCACCTAGGACTTGACAGCGTATTAATTCGACAATCCATGACTTGACTGCTTACTATTTCGACCATCTGGGATTTGACAGCTTACTAAGTTGACCATCTAGAACTAGACAGCTCACTAGTTCGAGTACCTAAGACTTGACACCTTACTAATTGAACTAAGACTTCTCAGCTTGCTAGTTCGCCCATCTAGGACTTGACAGCTTACTGAGATGATCATCTAGGACTTGACAGCTCACTAGTTCAATCATGTAAGACTTGACAGCTTCCTAAGTTGACCATCTAGGACTTGACAGCTTACTAAGTTGACCATTTAGGACTTGACAGCTCACTAGTTCAATCATGTAAGACTTGACAGCTTCCTAAGTTGACCATCTAGGACTTGACAGCTCACTAGTTCAATCACATAAGACTTGACAGCTTACTAAGTTGACCATCTAGGACTTGACAGCTCACTAGTTCAATCATGTAAGACTTGACAGTTGACCATCTAGGACTTGACAGGTTACTCGTTCCACCGGCTCGGACTAGGCAGATTGCTAGTTCCACCACTAGGACTTGACAGCCCACAGACGCGACCTACTGATCATTAACAACCACCAAGACTTGACCGCCGCCAATTTACACAAGACACCTCGGGGACATGACAGACTAATGTCACTTCATCATTACTTCTGACAGAGTGTTGGCAGAGAACATTTCGACTGTTGAAATTTCATACCTTGACAGCTTGACAGTTGACAAATAATTTTAAGTTTGATTCTTGGCTTTTGTTACAGCTTGACTTTCATAGCTTATACTAACATGCTGTTGACTAATGTCGTGGCAACTAGATATTTGAGAGCTCATGACAAGGCATCTTGACAATAGATAGTGACAATAAGACATATTTACATTGTTGACAACTCATGTCATGACAGCTCAACTTTTATAAACTCACCTGACTGCTTCTAGCTCATTTTGCCTGTAGACTGTATGCTGTTAATAACTCTGACAACTTAACTGTTGAAATAATGTGACAATAAGAGTTTTCAACATGACAACTCATGCCGTCGCAATTGGCCAATTGAAAAGCTTACTGTGATAATTTGACTCATTGTGATAATTTGACGGTTGACAACTCTTGACAACTTGACTTGGAATTCTTGCTGTGACAATTTGACTGTTGACAACTCTTGACAACTACACTGTTGATAACCTGACCGCTGATATTTCATGACAATTTGGCCGTTAAACTATAATGCGACAATTTGACATTTGACAGCTGATGATAATTTTGTGACAATTTGACTTTAACTGACTGTTGAGACTCTTACTGTAACAATTTGACAGGTAGCAACTCACAGCATTTGACTGTTGGCTAAATAGTTTCAACATGACAACTCATGCCGTCGCAATTGGCCAATTGAAAAGCTTACTGTGATAATTTGACTCATTGTGATAATTTGACGGTTGACAACTCTTGACAACTTGACTTGGAATTCTTGCTGTGACAATTTGACTGTTGACAACTCTTGACAACTACACTGTTGATAACCTGACCGCTGATATTTCATGACAATTTGGCCGTTAAAACTATAATGCGACAATTTGACATTTGACAGCTGATGATAATTTTGTGACAATTTGACTTTAACTGACTGTTGAGACTCTTACTGTAACAATTTGACAGGTAGCAACTCACAGCAATTTGACTGTTTGGCTAAATAGTTAAGACTGTGATACTTAGACAGTTGACAACTAATCCCACGAAAACTTAAAGGTTAAAAACTGAACTCAATTAAGACATTAGAGACAACTCAAGGGAAATCAATTGTTGAACCCAATGTGACAACCTGACTGCTGACATCTCATGACAACTTGACCACTGAAACCCTACTGTGAGAATTTGACTTGATAACTACTGTGACTCTTGACAACTTACTGTGACCTGACGCTTGACAACTTACTATGACCTGACGCTTGACAACTTACTGTGACCTGACGCTTGACAACTTACTGTGACCTGACGCTTGACAACTTACTGTGACCTGACGCTTGACAACTTACTGTGACCTGACTCTTGACAACTCTTATTGTTACTTGCCTCTTGACAACTCTTACCTTGACCTGACTCTTGACAACTCTTGTTACTTGACACTTGACAACTTACTGTGACCTAGCTCTTGACAACTTACTGTGACCTGACTCTTGACAACTCTGACACTTAACTTACTTAACGCTTGACAACTTACTGTGACTTGACTCTTGACAACTCTTACTGTGAACTGACTCTTAATAACTATCTGTAAAAAAACTGATACCTAACAGCTCACCTGAAAACTTGACACTTGACTACTCATTTTGTGACAGCCTGACTTTTGTCAGCTTATCCTAATGAACCTTACTGTTTACTGTTCATATTGTGACAACAGATACCGTGACAATTTGACTGTTGACAACTCATATCATGACAACCTGACTACTGACACTCTTATTGTGATAATTTGACTGTTAAAAATACAATAAGACCGCTTGACTGTGACATCTTGACAGTTGATAGATCACAATAAGACAGCTGTTGACAGTTCAAGATATATTAGCTTGACTGCCAACAATTCACACAAGGCCAATATGGGCATTGAAACTCACAATAAGACAATTAGATTAATGACAAATGTTTTGACTTGAATGCTGACATGTTAACAGTAACCTGATTTTGAGTTCATACTATGACAACTTGACTGGGCATGTTAAAAAATAACTGCTGACATCTGCTGCGACAACTTGACTACTGACATTTTAAAAATGACTGGTAACAATTGCTTTGACAACCTGATTAATGACATGTTAAAAATGACTTTTGACAACTTGATTGCTGACATGTTAAAAAAAAGCTTGACAACTGACATATTTAAAATATCAGACTTTTGACAACTACTGCGACTATTTAGTCGTTGACAAGCCGCTTCCTGACTGTTGACATATGCTCTGACAACCTTACTTTGACAACTACGACCATCAAAATTTATCATTACTAACAACAAGGCGATAATCCACTTACGCAGTGGACTGTATAGCTAATTTAACTGCTGTGACTTTTTAACTATTCAGTATACTATCGTCTTAACTGTCATGACTTGTTGACCGTTCAGTATACTGCCAATCCTTGACAACCCACTTAACTATCATGACCTACTGACTATTCAGTATACCACCAACATAACTGTCACGACCTTTTGACTATTCAATATACTGTACTACCAACTTAACTGTCATGACATATTGACTGTTGAGTGTACTATTGACCATTCAGCATCCTACCACGACATGCTGACAGTTGAGGTACTACCAGCTTTACTGTTAACTTCCTCGACCAGCTAACTTAGTTTTTACAATCGACCAGTCTAACTCCTACTAACAACCAGACCACTAACCTCTCGACCAACCGATTGTCCCATTTTCGACCACAATGACACTCATTGCATCTACCATCTCCTTAACGAATCATTTTGAGTAGATTATCATTCACAACGACCAATCACCTTTCACTACGATTACACCCTCCCTCGCAGAGATAGAAAAAAGACATGCAAAGACGACAACCTGACTTTGATTAATAGGTATTATTGTGCAGAGACACCTGCAGAAATTATCGTGTCACTTTAAAGGTACCCAAACATATCATTGATCATATCACAGCATTTCTTTTCATTTACCATTAACAAGGACACTCCCCTACCTGTCTGTCTGCCAAAAATACTTTTCCCTTGGAATTACCCCCGAGGGTGACTTAAATGTTTGCAGTAACTGACAGCAAGTGTCAGCATTATGAGTAAGTTATGAATAACGACCTTCCACTAACAGATTGCAGGCTTTGACGGACATGACTAACCACACGGGACGACGACCAACGACAGAGTAAGTACTGA